ATTACCTAGAAAGTCTTTTTGAAAATTCAAAAGCACAAGTTCCGAGAGGCATTCATGTTTTTTTTAATCAAACTTTTTCTACATGATAATGAAACAAATGTTACTACTTCTTACTTATCACATAAAATTATTCAAACAGTACAACCTCAAAAATAGGATTAATCCCACCTGTGACACATTCAGCATCAGCAGGGACTCCATGGGCCACGAGGAGCAAACGAGGAGGCCATGACCTTGCATGGGTGGCTCAGGCCTCAGAATCAGATATGATCTTGAGTTGAGACTCATTGAATCGGTAAAGCTGGCGTCACCGTCGCCTTCCCGCCAAGGTAGGCCATAATGACCAAGGTCACGTATGTCAAACTAGTGGCAGCTTCAGATCGCAGTTACCGTGCGATCGTACTAACTTACTGCAAATTTGTGCTAACCTGCTGCAGTGGAAAACAAGTAAGTATTATGTCCGTGAAGTTAGCGTCAGCAACAACAACGAATACAGCGTCGGATTCAGAATCGCTCAAAAAACTCATATTCGGTAAATTGGGGGACGGGGAGCAAGAATATGACCTTTATTTGGCCCTAGCTTTTACCCCTTACCCCTTAATCGGCCCTTAAAGGAAGGGGCGCGTCAAAATTGCCTCAAGGGTTCGTCTGATCGCCAAAATAAGGGTCGCAATCGATTCCCCGGGTTAATATCTAGCCGCAGCCTTGGGTTCCAGATGTGTGCAACTTACCCCTTACCCCTTAATCGGCCCTTAAAGGAAGGGGCGCGTCAAAAGTGCCTTAAGGGTTCGTCTGATCGCCAAAATAAGGGTCGCAATCGATTCTTCGGGTCAATATCTAGCCGCAGCCTCGGGTTCCAGATGTGTGCAACTTACCCCTTACCCCTTAATCGGCCATTAAAGGAAGGGGCGCGTCAAAAGGGCCTCAAGGGTTCGTCTGATCGCATAAATAAGGGTCGCAATCGATTCCTTGGGTTAATATCTAGCCGCAGCCTCGGGTTCCAGATGTGAGCAACTTACCCCTTACCCCTTAATGGGCCCTTAAAGGAAGGGGCGCGTCAAAAGTGCCTCAAGGGTTCGTCTGATCGCCAAAATAAGGGTCGCAATCGATTCTTCGGGTCAATACCTAGCCGCAGTCTCGGGTTCCAGATGTGTGCAACTTACCCCTTACCCCTTAATCGGCCCTTAAAGGAAGGGGCGCGTCAAAAGTGCCTCAAGGGTTCCTCTGATCGCAAAAATAAGGGTCGCAATCGATTCCTCGGGTCAATATCTAGCCGCAGCCACGGGTTCCAGATGTGTGCAACTTACCCCTAACCCCTTGAGGCACTTTTGACGCGCCCCTTCCTTTAAGGGCCGATTAAGGGGTAAGGGGTAAGTTGCACACATCTGGAACCCGAGGCTGCGGCTAGATATTGACCCGAAGAATCGATTGCGACCCTTATTTTGGCGATCAGACGAACCCTTGAGGCACTTTTGACGCGCCCCTTCCTTTAAGGGCCGATTAAGGGGTAAGGGGTAAGTTGCACACATCTGGAACCCAAGGCTGCGGCTAGATATTAACCCGGGGAATCGATTGCGACCCTTATTTTGGCGATCAGACGAACCCTTGAGGCACTTTTGACGCGCCCCTTCCTTTAAGGGCCGATTAAGGGGTAAGGGATAAAAGCTACGGCCAAATAAAGGTCATATTCTTGCTCCCCGTCCCCCAATTGACCGAATATGAGTTTTTTGAGCGATTCTGAATCCGACGCTGTATTCGTTGTTGTTGCTGACGCTAACTTCACGGACATAATACTTACTTGTTTTCCACTGCAGCAGGTTAGCACAAATTTGCAGTAAGTTAGTACGATCGCACGGTAACTGCGATCTGAAGCTGTCACTAGTTTGACATACGTGACCTTGGTCATTACGGCCTACCTTGGCGGGAAGGCGACGGTGACGCCAGCTTTACCGACCTAGGTGAGTTTATTTATATTATAGCATAGCCTATAGGTAGTTTATAGGCTATAGGTAGTTTGGGCGTATTTGACTCTATAGACGCCCAAATTCTTATGCTGTTGATTGATTATTGGGACCAAATTGGGACTGGGAGAAGGGGAGGCAGCCGCAGGTGTCAATTCTGACTTCTGACATGTAAAATGTAGGTACCTAGGTAGTGTAGCAGGCACTTGGCTTGGTAAGACTAAGTACCTACCAACTGCCAAATGCTTTTGGCTCATTAGGCGCCTGTGCCTGAGCCTCTGAGGCTCTTGTAAGTCTGAAATATGGAGTTAAGTGATGGCTAAAGCTGAGGGAGTGATCTAGCATTGATTATTAGGGTGTTGATGGTGACTTGTAAACGACTCAAATTTTTTTTGAGTCGATTCTTTGTTTGAGTCGGAAATTTTGAATCGATTCATCAAATGACTCATGATGCTAAATTTAATCGATTCGAATCAACTCATGACTCATCAAGTTCCTCGATGAAGTGATTCGAATCAACTCACGACTCATCGAAAAATGGTTTGATTCTGAGTCGATTCACGAATCAACTCAGAGTCGTTTACAAGTCTGCTACGCATGACCGCTGGAGACCGGCTAGCCGTGCCTTGGACCAGCTCTCTAACCGCGCCGGCACTGCGGAAGCCACCTCCTCCCACCACTGCACTGCATTGGTGGCGCCGAACACACCACGCGTCCAAAACAACCGCCCCACCAATGAATAGATAAGCCCGTTAAACAAGTCCGCCGAAGCCCGTGTCGCCGGGCTGCGCGCTCCTGCCGCTCTCCCTCCCTCTCCATCGCTCTATCTCGACTTTATCGTCGCCGGAAGCCGAACGACGCTGCTCGGCGCCAGAGAGCCGCCGCCGCCGACCGCTCTGTGCGAAAATATGAAAAACTGGCCGCCGGCGTGGTGGGCTGCGCTTCCCCGCCGCGTCAGTCCATCACAGAGCCGGCCTATTCGGCCGACTGATGTCGAAATGCCATTTAGACGCAGCGTCTGTCGCCGCCGGCGATGGCTGTGGTCGGAGGGGGAGGGGGAGGGAGGTCACATTTGACGCCGCAGCTACCTCTGCTCTGTCGGCTGCGGCCGGCCGGGCTGGGTCTATAATGTGCGCGGCGGCCGGCCTGAAACCCTCCCCGTCGGCACATTGTCGGCGGCGCTGTTAATTAGGTTTGCATCGTCTGAAGAGCGGGCCGAGACGGCCGGCGGTTCTGTCAGCCGGCCGACCACGACCGGCACTGCCCCCCCCTGCCCCGACCCCTCAGCCCCCCGACCCCTCGCTCCCAGCCCCGGATCCCCGCCCAGCCTGGCAGGTCGCGCAGTCGAATGGTCGGGTCAGCAGAGCATCAAGTAAAATTAAATTAATTATATTGATCAGCATTCGAATGGTGTAGAAATAAGATAAAGTTTGTTTGAAACTGGGGGGTAAAAACAATTTTGACCACACCGAAGTCGATTAGGGGACGGTAAATTTTGAACGCACTCTTGGACCTGCTGGCCCTCACCTCATCGATATTAATTGATGCAAAGGATATTGATATATTGAAATGCATTCAGATGGAACTGATTGGATCAATGCGGAGTGTCGTCCTCGTGAATATGTGTTATGTAACAGTTCTGACTTAAAAAAGGACCTTATTTCCACTCGGGTTACGTACGACATTTCGGTGAGGCGGTTGAGCGGAAAGGTAGCGTACTCGTATGTCAGTGTCCATTAGCCGACTGTTGTCACTGTCGGGTTCGATGACAGTCCAGTTATAACCGCGCCGACGGCCAGGGCCGTCCATCCGATGAGGTTCTGGTTAGCTCAGCTCCTCAGGAGTGAATGGCTGACTCGGGCTAGGATTGCGGCGTGGCGCGCGCCGTATACGTTCTGGTGTTGTGATGACTGCAGTAGTGCCGCTGTTGCCATCACCGCCGGCTGTGACCACTTTACCGCCATACGAGGCCACTGTCGGAGGTCGTCTGAGGCCGCAGAGTGTGCACCATCGCCGCCAACGACCTGTCATGCCTCAAGCTTTCCTCCTCTCTCCCAGGCTTTCCTTTTACAAAAGCACGTTAGCTTTTTTATAAATGTAAAGAAAACCGCGCGGCCAGTCAGCGACTGTGTAGCAAAGTATCGAATTGAAAGGGGAGCGGAAACGCTGAAGAAGCTGTAAAGCGTCTTTGGAGGTCCGGCGAACAAACTGGCCTGGGATTGATGTTCGGGCGCGCCGCCGGCCCGTCGGCTCCGGCGGCCACAACTTGCGTCGTTACGGTCGGCGTCCGATGGAGATGGATGGGCGTTGTTGGAGCCTTCGCTCACTGCACTGCCTGTTGGCTGCTGTCCATCCGGCGGCCGAGGCCGTCGTTCCGACTGCTACGTGCGCCGGACGGCCGATGGAGTCGCAGCGCTCCCCGGGCTGTAACTCTGAGATGTATCGCCGTCTTTCAGCGGCGTCTCGGACTGGGCCAAGTCGCAAATTCGCATAACTTTGATTTGGCAAACACGCTGCTAGTCGTATCCGGTTTTATCGTGCTGTTGTGCTAGGCTCGTAAAATTATAATGTTTCCGTATCAATACTGAGTGTGATAAGGTTTTTATTACTTCCCATCCGTATGATCATTCATGATCAATGATCTGTGGCGATCTGACAACACTGAACCGTGTTATAACTTCTACCGGAACACGGTGCTTGGCCCTTAGTTCTTACACAATACATGATCTATTCATCTCATAAGTCATAACGACCCTGCCCTATACTGACCGGATCTAATCATGACAGCGACTAGGAAACCATCCAGCCATATGTATTTTTTCAACAGTTGTGCGTCATCTGATGAAGTCATTGCCTGAGCAGTTCTTGTCGGATGTGGTGTTTTCCCAACTAGCTCCGCCTTGTCAGCCAAATTACCCGGCCGGCTAGTCAGGGATATTGTGTTGCTGTGTTGCTGTGAGGCACTGTAAGCTGCCGGTGTCACCTGCGACCGTCAGGTGAATCTGACACATCGTCTGACTCACGTCCTCCTTTTTACAGACGGGGAAGCTGCACTTTGGCTACATCTACGGCATCGGCCTGATGGGCTGCGTGGCCATGTACTTCCTGCTGAACCTGATGTCGATGCAGGGCGTCAGCATGGGTGTGGTGGTGTCGGTGCTGGGCTACTGCCTGCTACCGATGGTGGTCCTCTCCGGCGTCTCCATCGTCCTCTCGCTGCAGTGAGTGGCTGTCGACAGCAGCGAGGGAGGATGCTGTAGACACTGGGACTGCTACACAGACTAGTTACAGACACTAGATAGATAGACAGCGGTGGGGAGGGTGCATGGCAGGGCCACTGGGACGTTCTTAGACACCGGGGACCAGCTACTGGCTGCAGCAGGGAGGCGTTGCAGATAGACCCTTGTGGCCGTGTTTACTCATCGGGGACCCAGTGTCCTTACAGACACCGGGGACCAGTTATACGTAGACAGCAGGAGTGTAGGGGAGAGGAAGGAGGTAGTGACCGACCCACTGGGCCTGCCTACAGTCCAGTGGGGACCAGTTATAGACAGTGGGAGTGTAGTGGAGAGGAAGGAGGTAGTGACCGACCCACGGGGCCCGCCTACAGACACTGGGGACCAGTTATAGACAGTGGGAGTGTAGTGGAGTGGAAGGAGGTAGTGACCGACCCACTGGGCCCGCCTACAGACACTGGGGACCAGTTACAAAGAGCGGCGTCTGGGGTGTGCTCCGAATGACCGCCACATAATGATGGGATCTGGGGAAGGCTGGCGGAACGATGGCGTGGTATGGAATGAGGGAAGAGAGAGAGAGAGAGAGAGAGAGAGAGAGAGAGAGAGAGAGAGAGAGAGAGAGAGAGAGAGAGATATTCGATACAAATGTTTTTAACAGTGCGTTTTCTTGTCTCTCTATCTCCCTCCCTCTCCCCTCCCCTCCCCTCCCCTCCCCTCCCCCTCCTTCCTCTCTCTCTCTCTCTCTCTCTCTCTCTCTCTCTCTCTCTCTCTCTCTCTCTCTCTCTCTCTCTCTCTCTCTCTCTCTCTCTCTCTCTCTCTCTCTCTCTCTCTCTCTCTCTCTCTCTCTCTCTCTCTCTCTCTCTCTCTCTCTCTCTCTTCCTCTCCTTATCTCACACGCGCCCGCGCATAGATAGCCAATTAAACTTCGAAATTTGGCAATGCATCCGTTGCAAAGTTTTGCCCACGACTCAAAAGGTCAGACCAGATAAGGAACACCTGTAAGACATCACCTTGAAAGTTTAAGGCTGTCCTATGGATAGTTTTCGCACTTCCTGCCCACCTCTACCCATGCTCCGCCCACGCTCTACCGTCCGGCTAAGCCCATACGCTCGTTAGGTGGGGCCGAAGCGCCACATAATCTCTGTTGCACATTCGTTCTGATCAGTAGCCAGCTGGGACGCTCTATCCGGGCTACTACCGCGCAGAAAGCTGGTGGTCGCCCCAGCTCGCCCCAGCTCGGTCGGCGGTGGTAGGGTTACGTAAAATACACGGCCAGCTACGCACTATACTGTAGTATGTGTGTGGAGGAGGGATGAGGGATGCTGAATATGTGTATCTGTTTCATGTTTGCTGCTCATTTTATTAGTGCTCTGCCCAATGAAAACTCGTGCAGTCTCCAGCTGAGTGTATTAAGGTTGCCAAGTCTTTGCTAGGTTTTACACATGTTACTGAAGGCGTTGATTGGAAATAACCTTGGTTGGCTTCTGCCACCGTTTCCCCCACAGTAAACCAACTAAGCGTTGGTAATCAGCGATCGACGGCTTTGTACTGATGCAGTCAACACTTGTGTGAACTAATGCACCTGGGATCAAAAGCTATCATTATTTACTCAAATTAATTTTGAGGAACTTGCATGCATATGAGTTTATTATTTATGTATGTGTTTGGCTCCCGGTCCCTTGTTCTGTTTCAGTGATTGTCCAGTTGCTGAGCTCTAACTCCATGACTGCCGTTCCCTATGCCCTGGTCGTTATGATTGCCGTCCCCTGTTCTGTTCCATGACCATTCAGTCGTCATGCCCGTGTAACTGTCAGCGGTGTGCTCCGTGCCCCAGCTACTGTCGTCCACTGCCCTGGCCCTCATGACCTCGCCGTCAGCCAGAGTAGCCCGCCGTGCCGAGTAGCTCCGACCGACCGCCGGTCGGCCATGGCCGAATATCCGGCGGTGCGTGCTGACCTCCTCAAGGGCCGCTTATTAGATGGGGTGTGTTATCGATGGGTTGGCCGCCGGCGCAGCGCCTTTGTGCTACGCTGATCCACCGGACACACGCGAAAATATAGCCGCCGCGGCCCGCGGCTGTGAGCCGCCGAAGGAGCAGAGCTAGCTGCAGGATGGTCCACCGTGACTCTGTGTTCTTAGCTTTTTGTATTTGGCCGGGAACGTATTAACCCGCGCCCTGCTGGGGGGGGTGTTTGAACACCCCCACCCCCCCTTGTGGTTTTTCGCGAATATCTCAAAAACGGCGGCGCGGAGCGCCGCCGTTTTTGGTACACCTTATCATACATCAATTCTACACATGTTGTGAAAATTTCAGACCAAGGTCATTCAAGGTCAGGTCACCAGGTCACTTGAAGTGACCTCACCTCATAAAAACTTTCAATGTCTGTCATAGCTACACCGAGTGACCGATCGCTTTGAAACTTTCAGCGATTGCTAAGAGCAATAGCATGTACAAAATGTTTATCTCAGAATTTTGATATCGATGACCTAAGGTCAGGTCAATTTTGCGACCTCCCCATTATAAGTCAATGGGAGAAAATTGAAATGCGCCTCTTTTGGATGAAAGACATTATAAACACTCCCAAACACCGAATTACAAGTGGTTTAGACACACTGAACTTGAAAATGGTGTCCGTGACCCTTGTTTATGCCCTGAGGTCATCTTAGGTCACGAATGGTATCTAACAGTTTTTCGCAAATAACTTTTGATAGAGGCATGCTAGAGCGATGAAAACTCCTTAAATGTGTTCAGCTCGACGATACGGATCGACTGATATGCAACATGACCCTTTCCGGTCAGGTCATGACCTTGACCTGAGGTCAAATTTTCAAGTTGACCTTTCAAGGTCAAGTTATAGTTCATTCGATGCGTCTTGACGAGAGGAACACGATGCCGGTAAAAGTAAGCTCGTACAAGGCTTGGGTCAAAAGTTATTGCAGAAAAACTGTTTTCGAAAAAATCGGTTATTTTTGCAGTTTTTGCCCCCTGCAGGCAAAACCGTTGACGTTAGGTCAAATCTGAGAGAATTACTCAGAAAGGGCGTTAATAGGGCTATCGAATGCGCTTTTCCGCGGCGCTGTAGCTCTGTTGGTTCCCGAGTTATGCGTTGGCTTCTTGGAAATTTTCGACATTCGACCTGGAAATCGGCGAAATTTTGCCTTCAATGACCTCTGGTGACCTGACCTTTGACCTGACCAAAAAATTGGCCGAAGTGATTTCGTCATTATTTTTGACGCTCTTTCGAACGCCGCCTTCCGCGTATCGCTACGTGGCCCAGGAGCCGAGTTACAAGGGGGGGTGTTCAAACACCCCCCCCCCCCCCCAGCAGGGCGTGGAAATCCAGGACCCCCAGCAGGGCGCGGGTTAAATAAATGTGCCTCATTGGCGGAGCCATATGGACATCCGAGGGTAACGACAACATTACTTGTGACCCTGATCGGGTCGAACGACAATCAGTAATTGCGGGCTCGCTGCAGATTCGTGACTACTAAATAATGCTGCACCACACACTGTAGTAGTTTCTTCTATCCCATGCCTGGTCCATTCCACGGATCCCCGTCCCGGCTCCTGCCGTCAGGTGTCTGCTCTAATCGGCTGTCCTCTGACAGCGGCACCCGGTGGTGTTTTCCACCGTCCGCCGGCCGTGAGATGAGCCCGCTCCCCGCGAGAGAGTTGGCGTCGCAGCGGCCCCATTCAGTCGGCAGCCGGTTAATTCGCCGGCGCCGACAGCGCTAATGTAAAAAGAGATGAAGTCGGCGGCGTATGAGGGAGAGAGACGGTCTGCGGTTGGCGTCCGAATAGTGGCACCGATCTCGGTGGTCTGCGGTGCGATACTGGGCTGTGATGCCGCCTCTGCCCTGCTCCACAGCACAACACAGTCGCCTGAGTTATAGAAGACATAATTGAACACCAGCTATTACTTTATTTAATGGGAGCTTTCGAAAGCTATGCAGCTTTCTTCGTCAGCCTTGGTACAAAACACTAAAACAGATCCATATAAAATTAAACAGTTACATTAGACACCACAATAAAACGAAAATGGCGCATCTGGATTTTTTTTTTTGAAAAAAAATTCTCGCTGTTTCTTTTCGGTCGCGCTACCATCAAGCGCGTCACACAATGGGCCTGTTCCAGCGCCTCCAGAAACCTCCAGAAAGCTCCAGAAAGCTCTAGAATCCTCCAGAGAGCGTTCCAGCGCCTCCAGAAAGCTCCAGAAAGCTCTCGCCAAAGCTCCAGAAACCTCCAGTAGCCTCCAGAGAGTTGAGAGGTCCAAATTTCTCTGGAGGCTCTGGTCTACAATTATGGTGCACATGTGACAATCACGAATGTAAACAAAGGACATTTGACTGATTATTTTACAACTTGAATGTAAAGAAAATTACATTGCTATAATTTTATTTATCTGTTTAACTAAAATTGAAAACAAATTTTGCGTTTCAAGAGAGAACAATCGTCATTCTTTTGGTATATATGACGCTAATCTCCAGAAATCTCCAGATTGCGTTCCAGCGCCTCCAGTAAAACCTCTGGTAGAGCCTCCAGTCAAGAATTTCTTCTGGAGGCGCTGGAACAGGCCCAATGACAATACACGCACATGACAAAATACCACACATTTCAGTCTAACACACGGTAGACATTTGCGACTGGAACACCTGGTTTTGTGTTTAGCGCACGCCCCCTCGCCTTGTCAATGAAAATACCCTCTTTTATCTTCCGTTTTTTCCACTCCCTCTCAAAAGCCAGGATTTTGACCCCCTCCCACGCGATGGAATGTCCCGTCTCTATGACGTGTTTTGAAATACCGGAATGATTTTCGTCCATGTTTCTAATAGCCCGTTTGTGTTCTTTTTCCCTAGTTTTAATGCTTCTTCCCGTTTCCCCGATATACACCTGGTCACACTCGCACTCATACTGGTACACGAGACCGGCATTCTGATGTGGACCCCGTCTATCTTTCGGTTTCACCAAGATACCTCTTAAGTTTCGGTCTGGTTTGGTAGCCACTCGGGCGTACGGCTTCAGCGCACGGGTCACCTTCTCCGTTACCCCTTTAACGTAAGGTATGACAACAAGAGGTTTGTCATCAGGCTGATCCCTGGGCCTGGCCTCCCTGTTCCTAACTTTCCTGCGGGTCGCCTGTATGAACCGCTTAGGGTAGTTGTTGGCCCTGAGCACCCTGTTGACATGGTCAGCCTCTACATACTACTCTATCCGAGTCGTTGGTTATCAGCTGCTCCTCCCTCCTTACCAAGGACCGAACCACTGATTCTTTATGTTGAGCGCTGTGATGCGAGTCGAAATTTAGATAGCTGTCCGTATGGGTCGCTTTCCGGTGTACTGTAGTTTTGACTGAGCCGTCATCCATCCTACTTACCATCACATACGAGTAGAGTAGTAGTAGATACCATCACATAGATAGAGTAGTAGAGGCTGACCATGTCAACAGGGTGCTCAGGGCCAACAACTACCCTAAGCGGTTCATACAGGCGACCCGCAGGAAAGTTAGGAACAGGGAGGCCAGGCCCAGGGATCAGCCTGATGACAAACCTCTTGTTGTCATACCTTACGTTAAAGGGGTAACGGAGAAGGTGACCCGTGCGCTGAAGCCGTACGCCCGAGTGGCTACCAAACCAGACCGAAACTTAACCCTAGAACGCCTAGGGGGGGTTGTATCAACCCCCCCCCCTGAGGTTTTTTCGAAGTGCACGCTAAACGGCTTGTCGTAGCGGGCTGAAATTTTCAATAACCTCTGGGGCAACCTTTGCGCATCTTTTGCCGAAAAAAAATTGATCGGGTCATGTCAGGTCACGGAGTTATGACGTCATAAGAGGTACAGCCTCCGGCCGGATTTTCACAAACTGAGTGCCAACGCCCGAGGTTTCCTGCCGGTGGTACGGACATCGGTTGATGGATCGTGATGAAACTTCCCATGCATGTTGGGGCAAGTATTGGCTATCATATGGTATAAGAAATTTGACCGGGTCAGGTCAGGTCACGGAGCTATGACGTCACAAGAGGAACAGCGTCCGGTACTATTTTTGAAAAGCGCCCGAACCACTATTTTGCTAATTCTTGTCACCTCAATGGGAATATGCAGCAATATTAGCTTCTATAGGGAGCAAATGGACCTCCCGAATCCAAAAATACAATCAGATTTCAAAAATTTAAATTTTGATTTTTCGAATTTCTGCCGCCGACTGTGACCTTGCCGACTTCCGGCGCTCCCAACGCGCCATTTTTAGAGCTAGGGAAACGAAATACATACCAAACGATAGAGAATTGATCAAGGAACACGATAGTGAAGGTTTCAAGTCGATATCTCCCACCGTTTTGCCGCAATCGCCGCCGAAAGTTGAAAAAAGTCTATTTTTCCGAAAATTTGACCTTTGACCGGTCAAAAGTAGGTCAAATGTTGACCTAGGACCAAAAAATATACCACCAATCGCGAGATCTCGTTGAGAGCAATCCGTTGGTTTTTTCCGCTAAGCTCTACGACCTTCCGTTTCGAAACGCCAGGGGGGGGGGTCGTAACAACCCCCCCCCCCCCTGGTCGTTCGTGTTATGAGAAATGGCCTGGTCGTGCGAGGGTTAAGAGGTATCTTGGTGAAACCGAAAGATAGACGGGGTCCACATCAGAATGCCGGTCTCGTGTACCAGTATGAGTGCGAGTGTGACCAGGTGTATATCGGGGAAACGGGAAGAAGCATTAAAACTAGGGAAAAAGAACACAAACGGGCTATTAGAAACATGGACGAAAATCATTCCGGTATTTCAAAACACGTCATAGAGACGGGACATTCCATCGCGTGGGAGGGGGTCAAAATCCTGGCTTTTGAGAGGGAGTGGAAAAAACGGAAGATAAAAGAGGGTATTTTCATTGACAAGGCGAGGGGGCGTGCGCTAAACACAAAACCAGGTGTTCCAGTCGCAAATGTCTACCGTGTGTTAGACTGAAATGTGTGGTATTTTGTCATGTGCGTGTATTGTTATTGTGTGACGTGCTTGATGGTAGCGCGATCGAAAAGAAACAGCGAGAATTTTTTTTTTTTTTCAAAAAAATATCCAGATGCGCCATTTTCGCTTTTTGTGGTGTCTAATGTAACTGTTTAATTTTATATGGATCTGTTTTAGTGTTTTGTACCAAGGCTGACGAAGAAAACTGCATAGCTTTCGAAAGCTCCCATTAAATAAAGTAATAGCTGGTGTTCAATTATGTCTTCTATAACTATGCAACCGTCCCAGCTAAATAACAATATTTACAATTACAGTCGCCTGAGGTTCTCAGTTGTATGTTGTGGAACTAATAGGAACCTACTGCTTCCTTATGGGCTCTCTCGTCAAGCGTCAGCTGTGCCTGTTTATACCTTACTCCGTGAACCGATTGTTTTGCTCGGTAAACTTTTTTGCGGCGTGCGGAACTAGACCACGAGTAGTCTGTTTACTGTTAGCTCGCCGGCTGACGACCTCATCTAACTTTTTGCTCCCCGGGAGCTGGGCGGTGTTCCAGGTAACTCCCCTGTCCCCGGTAGCTGCTCCGCCTTTCCCGGATCACTCTCCGGTCTACGTGTAACCCGCGTCCCCAGGTGACTGCACTAGTTAACCGGGCCCTCCCTCCGACAGGGGCGCGCTGGGGATGGCGCTGGCCGGCCTAACCATCCTCTGGTGCAGTCTGTCGGCCTCCAAGCTGTTCGTCACAGCGCTGGTCATGGACCACCAGCAGCCCCTGGTTGGCTACCCGTGCGCCCTGCTCTACGGCGTGTTCGCCCTGCTTACCGTCTTCTGAGCGTCCAGCAACGTCTCAATCATCTTCAGTGATGTAGGCGCTGCTGGGCTGTCCTCGGCTTAGCGGTGTGGGCAGTGGTGGACCCCGCTATGGCGGTCACATCGTGAATGATGTGTGTGAGCAGCTGTGGCCGCTCTAGGTACTGGTGATCACTGATCAGTCACGCGGTGTGGTTTGAAGGAACTGAACTTCACGAGAGCGGTGGCTAGGTGCAGTATGTGTGTCTGAATAGCTTGAACGAGACCAAATGGCGACAATCAGCCGTTGTATTTTTAGGCGCGAATGGTATATGATTCGTCTTTTTCTACGGTTCGCTCTCTATTCCTCTTTAAAGTTATTCCTGTTTATTTGCCCTCAATTCTCTTCTTTTAGTACCAATATACTGCCTCATTATTTCTCTTTTCTGATTTCAGTTCATTTCCTTTTCTCGTAGAAACTAAATGGTAAAAGATCGTTGAAGTCACCTTCCCATCATTTTAGGCTAAATGTGCATGTATGTTAGGTATGGGCTTATTTATGTGGTTCGGAGTCAGTTATGTGTATGTGAGGATATTGGCGTATTATTGCATTATGTCTAGCCCAATGTCTATTAATATGGCGCGGTAATTGGTTACACGGCAATGTTTTGTTTCAGTTAGCCAATGTTAGTGGACCACCACTCGATAGATGGAGGGTCCGCGAAACTATCCGGTGTGGAACATGATGAAAATAAAGGTGAATTTGCTATGACTGGTGTGAATTGGACTGGTTTGATCTTGGGCTCTTCAGCGTCGCATTAAAGATGAAGTTTGTACATGGATTCTGGCAACATGGAAGTTCGAGCAGTCCACTCACAACAGCAGTCACATGGTTTCATTTTCACCACATAAAAGGCTTCCATTATGATAAACGAGATAGAGTGACTGTTCATTGCTAAACTTCCACAGAACTACTGTCCGTACTGATGTAACGTTCTGCGCCATTACCGATGGTGATGTGTCGGAAGGTGCCAACTTCCGACCCGAGCAAAGTACCAAAAGTACTGCAGAGACGATGACCCGTGTGGGCGGCCGGGCACGGCTAAGGTCCGGGGTCATCTCACCTCAGTTACGGCTGGTGATGTGTCGTCAATTGGATTGGTGAATTTAGCGGCTGAACTATCTCTAGCAGTATCATTTTCTAAAGGAGCGTGAGATTTACTCGATCGAAATCGCATGGAGTATAGCTGTTTCGACACTCGTTAATCGTAGTGTCGAACTTGCTGCTTGTACCTTGCACCACGATGCGAGTAAGACTCCTAACTAAATGTCACTTTAGTCACGGAAACGTCCTGTTTGTAAAGAAAGGCCGCGTGAAATGGAGGGACTTCCGGCGTGCGTGCATCGCTCTGTCCGGCTTATGATGGGCATTGCTGCTTTGGTGTCCCGCGCGTGCACTGCACTGGTGTCCCGCGCGTGCACTGCACTGGCGTCCCGCGCGTGCACTGCACTGGTGTCCATGTGTAACACTGCCGTTTGGGAACACGTGACCGTCAACGAAAAAAACATATTGACTGCTCCAAGAAGTAAGATGAAAATTGAGCATAATAAGAGACACTAAATCCCCCCCCCCCCCCGAACTGTTTAAAGAGATCATCGAAGCCGATTTAGCTCAAACTGCAGTGTTTGAACTCCCGCGTTTCGTGTTCCAGCTCCCGTGTTCCGTGTTCCAGCTCCCGTGTTCCGTGCCTCCCATCCATCGGAGCAGACTGAGCAGCCATCGGCGCCTAGCTCTGAGCATTGTCTAATGTCTTCTCTGTGACAGCTCCCGTGTTCTGAACTGTCCGTCCATCGGAGCATACTGAGTACGACTCTCAGTGCTCTGCACTATCACTCGCCTCCTTGATAACTCCCCTGTTCCGTGTTCTCCGTCCATCAGAGCACTATGTGAGTACTGACTAGCTCCCGGTTCTCTGTGTTAGCGCCCGCCTCTGTGACAGTGCCCTCTCTTCCGTGCTGCCCGTCCATCGAACCCTCAGAGCTGATTGGCCGCCCAGACTCATTGGTATCGCTGGTCACCGACCTCTCCTTGGGGGCGTGATGATGACGTCAGCAGCCCCCTGGGTTCATGGGAGAGATCCCAGCAACAGTCGTCATCACAGCAAAATGTACCAATCAGCGGGGCTTGAGATAGGCCGCAGGATATCTCATGATACACATCGGCCGTCGTAGAATGAAATATATCGTCGCGTCATCAGTTTAACTGCTTCACTCACTGAAATACAGGATACCTACTCGTCGAGAATGATAAGCATTTCTCTGGGAACAAATCTACTAACCCTGTTGAAGAATGTCTCTAGCTGCAAGCCTACCGAGCTGTCATGCAGCTGGCTTTCGCCGTCTCTACTCCGCCAGGCAAAAGGCCGGGGTCGCTGCCCTTGAGGACGTGAACATGACTCCCTCCTGACGGCGGGAACCACCAAAAATGAGGCGCCGACCGTGTTGACTTTTCATCTCGGCTCGGTTAGCCTGCGCGATTAGTTCAGCGCTCGGTACACACTGTGGCAAAAGACCGGGGTGGTGCGGTGAAAATTGGACCGATGTCATCTGCACCCCGGTCGTGGGCAGTGTGTGCTGTGGGCAGCCTTGTGTCATGAGGAAAAGTCCACTGTGAAAAACAGGTTTTTGGGTTGAAGCCTGCCGTGGGAAGTGTGGTGGGGCATCTGACGTATTGATTGGAAAACATATGTTAATTAACGTAGTGGGGATGTTTGAGAAATGACAAACGGCTGTGTTGTGGACGGGAAGAATCGCTAATGCCGCGGACAACGGGTCTCCACTAGAAATGGGGCGGTTTTCTGTTACCCTGAGCCCTCCCAGGTTGCCACATGAGCTCCTGCGGGTCTGGGTCGCTGGGTTAGTGCGGTGCAGCCCCGGCCTGGCACACACTGTGCAGTGCCCGGGAGGAGCCACAGTGCAGCGGAGCGAGCATGCCACGTGAATAGACCGGCAGCCTCCCGCCCAGACGAGCTTAATGAGCAATGTATGGCCTCCATTTCTATGACCGAGACTGGAATCGACTCTCCGGTCTGGACGGAGCAGGAAGAGAGTTCACCGGGCCCGCGGAGGTCGGGTGGGACCGCCGCCCTCTGAGCACCCTCCGTCGACCCGGTGTGGCTCTCGCGTGCAGCTGGCGGTGCCACAATGGTAAATATGGAATGTTGGCGGCCGGCAGCGCGGCCAGAGGTGCTTTTATCGGCCGTCATTGCTGGTGCAGAAGGAATCGGCCGAGTGCCCGGGGTGGGGGAGGGGGAGAAAGGTCAGCGGGGTCACCGGCCGCCCGGCGGAGCTCCCCGCTCTGCCTTCCCTCTGTCCTCTGTCTGCGAAGATCGCGCACAAAGCCGTTCTCGGAACGGAATCTGGCCTGACGGAGCGAGCAAATACTTCAGTGCCGAATTTCTATCAGTGCGGTCAGCCCGGGGGTCGGCTGGCTGCGTCCGAGCCCCGACCGACCGGGCTTGTGACCTGCCGGAGTCCCTGCGCCGCCACTTTGTAATTAGACCCTGACCAGAGCCCTGCCGGACAGTGGAATGGTTATCGGCCGGGCCATTTTCGCAAGCCTGATGACACCATTGTGCCATGAGCTCGCCGGAACGGGGGTAACCACCGGGTGAAAAAGCGACCGGGCCGCCGGGGCCCGGAGCCGCCGGAGCCGGCGATCGCCTCATTGTTCAGCCCCATCACGTGCTCGATGGGTACAAGTTTAGGCCGCTTAGTGTCCCCGGGATCGAGTCAACGTCCAATCTAGCAATGTTACTAAATCCGCCGCCGGACCATCAATATTAGTCGGCTGGAGCTAACCGGCTTAGGCTGGGGGGATCCATGTGATCGCAAGGCACCTCGCAGTTGCGATCAAACGTAAGTTGAATCGGAACAGATATTGGAGGGATCCATCACATCGTAGGCTAAGTAGATACGCAAGTTGTATCGCAAATGGTGAAGATACGAACTAACTTTACGAATCTTCTCGGTCGATCGGAAGGCCGATCGTAGCGAAGCTTTACCTCTTTCTCAAGAGAAAAATATAAGAAATTTTCAAAATTTTCACAAAACCGAAATATATGTTAAACAAATTGGTTGATGAACACGTGTGCAAAATTTGAAGTCGATTTCTTCAAAAATGGCTGCGCTATAGCGTTTTAAATTTACACGTTGAAAACGGTCACTTGCACGTCATTTTTGTAATTATTTTTTTTCAATTTTGAAGTTTAAAAAAGTGTTTTGGGCAATTTTTCGCGTTAATTGCGAAAATCTGACCAAAACATGTATCGCACCATCAATGATCCGATACGCCATCAGAGGCCGCGCCGCGGACAGGTGGGCGCGGCGATACCTAGGCCGCGTGGGGGTTACACTGGTGTTCGGGAAGGGCTATGTCAACGCGAGGCAGGCCGCGGGGGAGCCGGTTGCGGCGCCGGTCCGTATTTGTCGGCGCCTAGCAGTGCAGCGGTGCGTTTATGGCGGAGGGAGGGGAAGCGGTGTAGTGTCGGCAAGGCCGCACACAGGAGAGGGCACACGGGCCTCCCCCCCATTCGAGTTGGGGCCCCTAATCTTTAGACCGCCGAAGACCATGTAAAATGAACTGAAATAATGATTAAAAAGACCGGGAGGGCCCATCTCGTTCCCCAGCAGGCCCATACGAGTCCATAAATGCCCAGTAGCGCAGCCAGGGGTATTGTGGTGAAATTTCAATGGCCCTCAAAAGACCTCAAAGGGCCCACAGATGGGGTCACCGGGTCCTCAGATGGTCTCGAAGGGCCCTCGGTTAGCGTCAAATGGCCCTCAGATGGCCAAATGAAGGGCCACAAGATGGCCTCAAAGGGCCCTCAGATGGGTTCAAAGGGCTCTCAGCCAACGTTAAACCTACCTCAGAAGACCTTAAAGGGCGTCAAAGGGCCCTGAGCTCGCGTCAAACGACCCTCCGAAGGCCTTAAAGAGTCCTTAGCTTGTGTCAGAGGGCCCCCAGCTGGTGTCAGTGAGCCCTCCTCAGCTGGCGCCAAAAGTCCATCTGAAGGCCTCAAACGGTCGTCAGCTGGAGTACAACGGTCCTCAGATGCCGTCACGCGGCCCTCAAAAGCCTCAAGGAGCCCTTATAAGGTTTCAAAGGGCCCTCATTTGGCCTCAAAAGACCCTCACCTAGCGTTAACCGGACTTCAGAAGGCCTAAAGGGCCCTTATCTGGTGTCAGAGGGCCCCCAGCTAGTGTCAGAGGCCCCCCGGCCCTCAGTTGGCGCAAAATGGCCATCAGAAGGCCTCAAACGGTCCGTAACTGGAGTCCAACCGCAACGGTCCTCAGGTGCCGTCAAGCGGCCCTCAAAAAGCTTCAAAGGCCGCTTAGAAGGCAGCAAAGGGCCCTCATATGCCCCCCAAGGGTCCTCTGCTGGCGTCAAACGGACCTCAGAAGGTCTCAAAGGGCGTCAAAGGGCCCTGAGTTCGTGTCAAATATAAAAGCGCCCTTAGTTGGTGTCAGGAGGCCCCCAGTTGGTGTCAGCGTGCCCTCAGCTGGTGTCAGAGAGCCCTCAGTTGGCATCTACTGGCCATCAGAAGGCCCCAAACGGTCCTCAGATGGCGTCCAACGGTCCTCAGCTGACGTTAAGAGGCCCTCAAAAAGGCCTCAAAGACCCCTCGGCTGCTGAAGAGGCCCTTAGCCTCAAAGGAAACTCAAGAGACGTTAAACGGCCCTAAAAAGGCTTGAAAGGGCCCTCTGCTG